ATGATACCACTTCGTACCCATGCCAGCACGGCCGCGCCCTTTTCATGCAAGGGCCTGTCTTAGGCGCTGTCTGAACACAAAAGCTTGGGGCATTGGAGTTGGCTTCGATCAAGTTCCTGAAGAAGTTCAAACGACAGCCAAGCTTTGCCTTCCCACCCCACAAACTATGTGCTCTGGCCCAAACAAACCGCGATGTCGTGGCAAAGTTCGGGTGGGTAGGGCTGGGCCCTGTGAGTCCACCAAATGTTATTGGCATCACGTCCTGACAGAATGATGTGTCGCTTGTGCGTTGCACTGCATCGCCCGAGGTGCGGGCTGCAAGTTTTCAAGATGGAGACCAACTTGGGAAAACAACTTGTCAAAAGTCCGGTGTTTTTTCGCCATGGCATACGATATTGACAGTAGTCGACAAAAAGAAGCTGTGCAGTTTTCATCAAAATGCCAAAATCTAGTCAGCCAGCACCGGAAGCTGCCAGGATTTTCAATCACCCAGGGGATCATCATGGTTGAACATAACTGTGCCATCAGGGTTGTCCACAAAAGCAGCTTGTTGCCAAGGTGAAGCTTCTGACAGTCAGGTGGGCTCAAACCTGTTCGTCCCCAAATCTGGCATTCGTCGTCCCGAAGTGGAGGAGGTCCTCCATCGAAACGTCGAGCTCTGCTCCAAGACTGGCATGGCATGCCAAACCAAACTAATGCGATCTTGCGACCAACTATAAAGCGAAGCAAATGACACAAAACATCCTTGTCAAGAACATTGCAACGTGCATTGTATTCTATGTCCCAAGCAGCACAGCGGACACCCTGTTTCACCATAGCCTTGGAAAGGTGAGCAGACCCACTGAAAATTTCTAGAACCCAGAGCTGGCGGTCTTTCGCTTTCTCCGGCAGAAAAATCTTTGGGCCCAATGTTCCACTTGCTGCGGCGCCTGTATTGCAGCACGCTGTATCTTCTTGGGAAGCTTCTGGAATTCCTGATTGAGGCGTGCACTCGCCTCGTAGCGCCTCACTGAACTGTCTGACAACCATCTCCCTCTCCTCTTGACCTCCAAAAGACTGCGATGTTTCACCATCCGGTCGTAAGATGGACCACTGTGCCTCAGCTGATAAAGCACGGAATGCGTCTTGCAAAGGCCCAAATCCACAAGTGCGCCTTGCCAGGCGTCTCGCAGGCTTCGGTAGTCCACCTGGAACATCATCACCCCTCGATGGAGGCTTAGATGGTGACGCAGCAAAAGTCCCATCCATGGGGTGGTCTTCGAGTCGAGGAGAATGGTCTCGTCTGATAGTCCCACTTTTGAACTCTCCTGACGGTCCGATGGATGCAGATTGAGGCTGAAGAACGGATGTTGAGCCGTTGGCTCCACCAAGTCTTCTCTCCGCAGGCTTAGGGCCTCCCCTGGCCTCAGGTAGGCGTCGAACATGAGGAGGACTAACAGAGCTTGATCGATCAACTCTTTCTGAACCAGCTTCATGACAATGGCCGCAATCAGCTCCCAAGGCATGGGAGGCCTCGTCGCCCCTGGATCCAAGCGGTACCATCCTTGCAAGCAACGTCTCGATCGAGGGAGGCTCTCCTTGCCTGTGCAGCCTGGCACGCTGTCGATGAGGGCTGCTAGGTGCTTTGTTGCATCGCCAATGTCGTTCCCTTCTTCGAAGAGACTGTTCAGAAAGATGCAAAAACTCTCGTCCAATTTCTTCTGCCCACGAAGGGAGAGCTTGTGCTGTCTGGCAAACTTCCGAAAAATCTGCATCCGGTGCTTGTAATCCACGGCCACCTCCATGGAAATTGCGCTCTGTTCCAGGAAGGTTTGTCCTGTGAAGCGCTGGGTCAACTGATTGTCTTTCATGTAGGTGGCCCTCTTTTCCGCTCTTCCCTCCTTTGTATTGCTTTGAAGGCATTGTCGAACGGCTTGTCTGCTGTTTGCTGATCGTTTCTTTTGTTGAGGAGGTGTGGTCACTGCTGTGAGCTTTCCTGGCACGTTCCCAACGGCGAGAGCCTTCATCCGCAACGTTGATCTCACTTGGAATCCAGCGGAGGCTCAAGCTGGAGGAAGTTGCAAGCAGTAAACATGCTACCCTTCTACAAACCCTCAACAGCGGAAGCGACGAACTACGGCCCTTCTCTAAAGCCAGAACAGTACCCAAATTGTCACATAAGTGTACATGCCTCTGATGAAAGCAGGACAATGACCGAAATTTGTGCCTCAAAGTTGCAACCACTGCTCGACCCTCTAAAACTGTTATGGCCTCTGGGAACTGCATGTGCTGCGCAAATCTCAACTGCCAATCTTCCTTCTTTAAAAGCAATGGATCTACTTCAGGAAAATCTACAACCAGTTCAAGGGGGTCTTCATGCTCTGCTCCTATTGGTTTTACGGACTCAGGGTCAGCGAATGGATCCAGTCTGCTCAGTGCCCTCTGTCGAGGACGGTCTGCTGGGTTCCTTCCCTTGAATCGCCAACCTTCTTTGAAGCTTCCAAGTTCTATGACTGTTGTAATAGACTCTTGCTTGGAACAGACTGCAATGCCCGAGAGTGATGCATCTGAGCTAGTGAGCTGAGTGGAAGGAACCCGTCTAAGGTCCGCTGTGCTCAGACTGAGGAGCTCCCCAATCCAGCGTGCCTCAACAGCAGCCACCGCCCAAAGTCGTCGTCTCGAGTGTCCTGCGTATTGCACAAAGTCATACAACCGTCTTGGAATGCTTAGCAACTCTCTTCTCAACAACATGAAATGAACCGCATGGCCCAACAACTTCTGGATTGCATGTCCCGTGACCCTTGGTCGCCGACTCAGCCATCTGAAGGCCATCTGCACCGTGCGCAGTCGATCTGCAACCGGCCTGACCGTGCCAGCCACTCCGTCAATGCAATAACCCAACGACTGAGCCACTGTGCAAGCATCCAACTCCTCATGAACCAAAAGTCCAACGTCCCTAAGTCTCTTCACGGCCCCATCTTTTGCAATTTGAACTCGCCTCTGATCCACTCCAGCCACATTCAAATTGTCCGCGTAAGGCAGAAGAAGTACCTGGGTGTCAGAAAGGTCGGGAGCCGGCTTGCATCCACGAGTACTCGATCCTGTGAAACGCCTGCTCCTATCTGCGACTGCACCTGATGAACTCTCTGTGAAAGCCACATCGCCCACGACCACCCCATGGGCACCACTCGCAACTGCGGATGCGCCCAGCCATCATAGATGAGGGAGCCACCCTGTTCAGCGCTCACACCCCAGTGCCTCAACAACGAGGCTGGGATTGGCGGCATACAGAATAGACTTCGGAGGCTCTCTGGTAGTTGCAACGAGTAAAAGTAATCCTTGATGTCTGACTGTGCAACAAAAAGCTCCTTTCCCTCTGGGATGGACAGCCTTGCCCAGGAAGCACCCGTGCCAGCTGCTAAAGTGGGAGGCGGCCTAAACCGACGATTCGTGTCTCTGCAGTCTAGGATGAGTCTCAGCTTGCCTGGTTTCTTTGCAACACAGAAGGGGGTCACCAAGCCTGAAGGTCGATTTGTGAACTCCACCATGCCGCACAAAAACAGGTCCTGAATGAAACTGCAATAAGTAGGGAGACTGTCTCTTAAAGTTGGGTCCATATATGTACAAATAGGTTGTTGTTTCTCCACCAAAGTCCCAATCTCATCGTCACTCAACAACATACACCGCTGGGGGTCCTCGATAGTTTCCCGGCCAACGTCATCTAGAACTCCTCTAAGGTCAACTGCCTGGTTGCCCGTTGAAGGAATCGAGAGCAGGCCTCTGTCGTAGGGCCTCACCATTGTAGTAACCTCGCCCGAGTAGGACAGGTCGGATTGCAGAAGCTCTTGTGCAGCTTCACGCATAGTCAAAAATTTGGCGGGGCTCCTTTTTGTTGAGAGGTCCCTAAACAACTCATGCTGACATGCATACTGTGCTGAGGTGACAGGATGAGCAGAACAAAAATCGCCTTCTCGGCTGGAGGAATACATCTCATTCAGAATGTTGATGACTGAATTTAAATTGTCGACAATACACCTAACTCTGAGTATATACTTTTTTTGTCGGTGTCCGGTGGCCGGTCCGGTGGCCGGTGGCCGGTGCCGGTGGCCGGTGCCGGTGGCCGGTGGCCGGTGGCCGGTGCCGGTGGCCGGTGCCGGTGACCGGTGGCCGGTGGCCGGTGGCCGGTGGCCGGTGCCGGTGGCCGGTGGCCATGGCCCGTGGCCGGTATAGCCGGTCCGGTAGCCAGTGGCCGGTGGCCGGTGGCCGGTGCCCGGTCCGTGGCCGGTGCGGTATAGCCGGCGCCGGTGGCGGTGGCCCGTTTAAACCCCCTCTAGCGTAGGTCCATTTCCATGCTCGGACTCAGACCTCCTGGAATTTCTAACTTGACTGAACATCAGCTGCAACACAGCCACATCCACCTGACGCCTGCAAGATTGACACGTCTACTTGATGCTAAAATATCGATGTCAAAACACCATGAGACGCCTTGCTGCTGCCTAGCCCTTTTTTTCGGACTGACCCAGGTCCATGGCTGGTGCTCTAAGCCGCAGCTTGCAACTGCACCACATTAGCAAGCTGTAGCCTGGTGTCTGCTTCGGAAGCCAGAAACAACCAGAACATCGCCCCAAAAGAGGTAACCCAGGAATCCCGCTTGAAAGATATTGAAAGGTATTGGACACCGCTTTATACATGATGGTCTCATTGCATACTTGTATACATATATTTATACAAAATGATTGCACGAGCTGGCTCTTCAAACTCGCCTGTTTGGAGGCCAAGTGGCCTCAAACTGTGATCGGCAATGCAGGGGTAAAAGGTTGAGAAGGAAGTTGCCCTTCCATGTGGACTCACCCCTTTGTCGGCAATACAGGGGTACAATTTAGAGAAGGAAGTGGTCGTTCCAAGTTGAGTCACCCTTGGTGAGGCACTTGAGGGTAAACTTGAGAGAAGGAAGTGGTCGCTCCAACTTGACTCACCCTTTTGTGGGCAATGCAGGGGTGAAATTTAGAGAAGGAAGTGGCCACGCCAAGTTGACTCACCCCTTTGTCGGCAATGCAGGGGTAAAATTTAGAGAAGGACGTTGCCACTTCAACTTGGCTCATCCCTTTGTGTGGGCAATGCAGGGGTAAATTTTAGAGAAGGATGTTGCCATTTCAACTTGCCTCATCCCTTTGTGTGGGCAACGCAGGGGTAGAATTTAGAGAAGGAAGTGGTCTTTCGAACTTGACTCACCCTTTTGTGGGCAATGCAGGGGTAAATTTTTGAGAAGGAAGTTGCCCTTCCAAGTGGACTCACCCCTTTGTCGGCAAAGCAGGGGTACAATTTAGAGAAGGACGTTGCCATTTCAACTTGACTCATGCCTTTGTGTGGGCAATGCAGGGTAAAATTTAGAGAAGGAAGTGGTCATTCCAACTTGACTCACCCTTTTCTGGGCAATGCAGGGGTAAAATTTAGAGAAGGATGTTGCCATTTCAACTTGACTCACCCGTTTGTGGGGCATGCAGGGAGAAAATTTAAAGAAGGATGTTGCCATTTCAAGTTGACTCATCCCTTTTATGGGCAATGCATGGGCAACATTTTGAAAAGGAAGTGGCCATTTCAACTTGACTCATCCCTGTCTGAGGGCAACGCAGGGGGAAAATTTAGAGAAGGAAGTGGTCGTTCCAAGTTGACTCACGCTTTGGTGAGCCACTTGAGGGTAAACTTTAGAGAAGGAAGTGGTCGTTCGAACTTAACTCACCCTTTTGTCGGCAACGCAGGGGTAAAATTTAGAGAAGGATGTTGCCAGTTCAACTTGACTCATCCCTTTGTGTGGGCAGTGCAGGGTAAATTGTAGAGTCGTAGAGAAGGAAGTGGTCATTCCAACTTGGCTCACCCTTTTGTGGGCCATGCAGGGGTAAATTCTAGAGAAGGAAGTGGCCCTTCCAAGTTGACTCAACCTTTTGCGGGGCATGCAGGAACAAAATTTAGAAAAGGATGTTGAAATTTCAACTTGACTAACCCTGTTGTGGGCAATGCAGGGGCAAAATTTAGAGAAGGATGTTGCCATTTCAACTTGAATCATCCCTTTGTGTGGTCAATGCAGGGAAAAAATTTTAGAAGGAAGTGGTCGTTCCAACTAGAATCACCCTTTTGTGGGCAATGCAGGGGCAAATTTTTGAGAAGGAAGTGGCCATGCCAAGTTGACTAGCCCTTTTGTGGGCCATGCAGGGGGAAAATTTAGAGAAGGATGTTGCCATTTCAACTTGACGCATCCCTTTGTGTGGGCAACGCAGGGGAAA